GAAACATACTTGGCCACCGAATCTGCCCATCGTACATTTTCCGAGGCCAAACCGCCAACGAGCCTGTTAGCAAGAGCAATCGTGGCGTTGGTCGCGTCCGCCTCTTGTTGACACTTGAGCTTCTCGGACGTTGCCTGCTCGAAGTCTGCCGTCAACTTGGCCAATTGCTCCTCCAACGACTGTGCCCAGAAACATCACTCTAACCTAAACTTGTTCGAAATTACGTTCGCGCGAGTTTACGTACGACAACTTTCCGTTTGATCACGCTCAGTTTCTCCTGAGCGGCGGCCAATTCCGCGTTCGCCTGAGCCAACGCTTTCCTCTTTGGCTCCACGTCGCAGAACACCTCGTAGAACTTGATGATGTTGATCACCCAGGCGCAGAGGCCCGCAGCTGCCGCTGATTTCGATCTCACGAATTCTGGCTCGAATTCCGAGTCTTTCAGATACGGTTGTATCGCCTTTATCACCTCCGGGTGGATGTTCTCTTTGTCGTAGTTGATCAGGGAGTCGAGGAACGTGTCGACCTTGGCCATCATGATCTGGAGAAACAACGAAGATGAAATAAGTTCAAAAAGAACTCGCGAGACTATTAAGATCAATTGGATCAGTCTCAGAGTCTTTAATTTCATTCTTATGCATCCTTGTGCACTTTCAATAGCGAATCCAGAGATAGTCGAGTCCAACTGACCAACTCCATCTTAATTTTAACATACAAAAATACACAATCAGTGAAAAACTAAATGATTTATTTTAATCAAGCTGGCTCAATTATGCGAAGAAAAAGTACATAGAGATTGGTGATATTTCGCAAGATTTTGGGGAGATTTCGTTATCATCATCCATTCTATTGCATTTACGAGGGACCAGCTTTAGCTATACGACCGAACTCGTGCTATCGATGACCTTGCCCCAAGTACCTTGGCAGCTTTCCAGCTCCTGTCCTTGGGTATTTTCCCAGCTGGAGCCAAGAGGACCATCACGGCGGCAGTTACGTTCGTCACAGCACCCGGTGGCGAGCCGAACGACTTCAATTCCGTGAGATTCGCCTTGTTCAGTGTATTCAGGGCCTCTTGGGCGGCCAAGAGGGCTGGCTCGGCCTTCATCAAATCCACCTCGCAGTCCTTCTGCTTTTTCGATACCTCTTCGGCTATTATAGCGACCTTCGATTCTTCCTCGTCCGCTGTCACCAGACAGGAAACATCGAATCACCAACCAACCAATGGTCGGGGCTCGTTTCAGGGTCCCATTGCTGGTTTTTACCTATGGCCTTCTCCTTCTGCACTTTCTCCGTCTCGATGCCGACGATCGCGATCAGAGCATCGGCCGCGTCGTTCTTCTGTTGCAGTTCCACCTCCTGCGTCGCCAGTTTCTCCTTCAGCTTATCCACCTGCACCGCGGTCGAGCGAAGCTTCTCCAAACCGTTCTCCAGCCTGGCCACTCGGCCGCGAAGCTCGCTGGCCTTCGTTTTCAACAGCCTGCTGTACAAGCTGATCTGCTCGAGGAAGGATTTCGGCGTGGTGTAGTTGTATCGACGCTCGCTGGCCAAATAATGCCTGCTGGCCACGTTGACGCTGGTGTGAGCGTGGGCCATAAATTTCGCCGCGGACTCCCTGCAACAAAATCCTTCGGTATATACATATATATATATATATATATATATATATATATATATATATTTAT